GCCAACATGGTTTCACTACGGGAAAGTCTTGTTTAACAAATCTTCTGACATTCTTTGAGAATGTTACTGCAAGAGTTGATGAAGGAAATACTGTTGATTTGGTTTACCTTGATTTTCAGAAAGCATTTGATAAGGTGCCTTACAAAAGAAGTGTTACAAAAATGAAATCTGTGGGTGTGAGGAAAATGTTATTAAATTGGATAGAAAATTGACTGGAGAGTAGAAAGCAGAGAGTAGTAATAAATGGAGTGAGATCTGACTGGATCACAGTTACAACCAGTGTGCATCAGGGCTCTGTGCTAGGTCCTCTGCTGTTTGTGATTTATGTTAATGATATTGACTCTGGAATGACTAACAAAATTTTGAAGTTTGCAGATGACATTAAGATTTTTGGGAGGCTAACTGTATCAAAGATGCTGTAGACTTACAAGGAGATTTAGATCATTTGATGCCTTGGACCAATATGTGGCAGATGATGTTTAACTATTCCAAAATGTAAGGTGATGCATGTAAGTTTTTACAATTCAAAATATTGTTACAATTAAAATAGGAATACATTAAATACTTTAGTTGAAGAAAAAGGTCTTGGTGTTGTGATCGAAAAATCACTTAAGTCATCTAAACAGTGTATTGTAGCTATCAATAGGGCTAATAGGATTTTGGGTAGCATCTATAGAAATATTGAATACAAGACAAGGGATACTATTGTTTCACTGTATAGATTACTTGTAAGATCTCATTTAGAGAACTGTGTACAATTTTGGGCTCTCTTGCTCAAGAAGGACATTGAATTGTTGGAGAAGGTTCAGAGAAGAGCCACTAAAATGATACCTGGGATGGTGGGATCGTCCTATGAGGAGAGATTGAAATCTCTAAACTGGAGAGGAGAAGAATAAGGGGGGATTTGATTGAGGTGTTAAGATTATCAAGGGTATTGATGATATACATCCATCAAACTTTTTTGTGTTTATCAGTGAAAAAATAGGTCAAGGGGTCATAAATTCAAATTTTGGCAATGTAGGAGTCATCTGCAGTTTAGACAGTATTACTTTTCAAACAGGATGGTTGACTTTTGGAATGAGCTGCCTTCAATGGTGGTGGAAGAAGAAAATTTAACTGAGTTCAAAAAAAGATTGGGTGAATATATGAGTAGTAAAGGATGGTTAAAGTTGGGAACTGGAAGGGCTTTGATGGGCTAATAACCTCCTTTTTGTCTCTTCAAAATTTTATGATTTTACGTGATTAATATGAAGTGAGAGTTTTCAAGCAGATAATATTGGCAGAATAATTTCATTTTTAAGGTAAATTTATTTGTTAACCTGATGTTCCTAAGACAGTTCTTTAAAACATTGGTTAAAGGTACATTTTTTTGCCATAAGTATCAATAAAAATTTATATAAAATTTATTAAACTGATTCATAACTTGTGAAATAGAAGTTTATTTATGAAAATGAATTTTTGCTGTTCATTTGCTATCCATCTTTGTGTTGAATTTTTACAGTATGTTGGTGATCAATATTATAACCTATTTTCACTCTAGAAGAAATATGAATATAGGTAGCAGATTTATAAAACCAAAACTATATAAACATTTATAAAGTAGTATAATATTTTTATCTTACCTCAAAGTCTTGGTGGTCAAGTAGCCAAAATCCTTGGGTCAGCTTTACAAGGCTGGAATTCATGTGAAAGATGACAGGGTATTCCATAAGATTTTTTACTAGATAACTTTGGTGTTGTGAGAGGAATGCTGCCATGTCCAGAAGAAGGTAGAGGATCATACAGTGTTTCTTCTCTAATGGGACCTCCTTGAGAAGATAGGTATTCAAAGCCTCATATAAACTTGGTGGAGGATACTGCCCATTACATCCTTTGCTTTGCCACAGATATGTAGACTTGTCCAGGAAAGAATCAATTTCCAAAATAAGACCATCAATCAACAGTATATCTGTGTGGCTCACTGTTCTGTTAGCAATAGAAATGACAAATCATGTATTTTGTAAAAATGGACTTGAAGGAAACTGGTAATATGATAATCATATTGATAATTGCTATGAAAATTACTGCACAATATATGGAAAACATTTCTTAGTCACTATTACAACCACAACATTTCTTCTTCATTTTTTTTACATTCATCGAGCTAATAGTTTCAGAAAACATACAATACTTTACAAGTGGCATTTAACAGTGAGTTTAATTAAAACAAACAAGCAAAAGCAGAAGAAATAAGAAGAGAAGAGAAGGTAGCCTTATAAATACATGATTCAACGTACAATTAAAACAATATATATATATAGCTAAGTATAAAAAGAAAATTAAACAAATACCTGTTAAGCTTCTGAAGCTCCTGCCTTCGTCTGGAGTAAAAGTCTGTAAGGATTTTGACAGGGTAGGTTACCTTGTTTTCTCCATAAGCTGTATCTTCATTATGTTCAGGCAACAGTTGGCAGGTGTACATCCATAAAGTAGCTTTCAGGTAAACAGCAATGAGTTCAGTAACTTCATATCTCAATTTTTGCTCACCTTGGCCTACAAAATCATTGTTTTGGTTTGATATACGTTATTTTTGTTTTATAATCTGTTACTTTTACACTTCTTGTAGCAATGAAATGTAAGGTATAGAATCTAATATAACAAAACTTGGCAAAAATAAATAACTATAAAGCTTCAAAATAAGCATGGATTTTAATTGTAAATTTGAAGCTTTTGTATTGAAAACAGGTTTTATATTTCATTACTCTTACAATGAAAATATCATCCCCACTGTTGATTACCTTTGTATTTATAACATGAAAATTTTACTATATGATCTGTTTCTTACATTTTATAAAATCAATATACATTGCATGATAATCTAAGTTTACTTGTAATTTACAATTTAGCTTACAATCATTAAATATCAAACCTCATTGTATATTGTAGTGTCTGTGACATATCCTCTATATTATAGTTACTACTACATCATTCTGGAATATAGCTAATTCCGGGATGTGAAAAATGTAAACCTCAAATATAGATTAATTTATCTTACTAGCTTTTAAACTATTTTATGTGAACTTCATACAAAAGAGTAAATGTCATCACAAGAACAACGTAGAACAAATTATGGTAAAAGGTTTATAAACAATTAATGTTAGAGAAGTAGATGGTACTAGATGTTAATGAAAAAAATATGTTGATAATTATATTCCATTAAAAAAACAAACAAAGAGGGAGTTACTGTATGACATGTAAATACCTCAGACTTAAGCAACAATTCTAGGTATTATGTTCAAAATGGCAAAATATTACCTTATGGAACAAAAATAGTTTCATGTTCTACTTTACTGATGCTTTAGAAATTGTTAGAAGAATTTGAGAATATATAGCAAAAATCATAGTATTCATAATAATGAATAAATCAAGATACTTGAAATAACAAAATTATCATCTCAGCAAATACCAGAAAAAAAATTTAGTATTAAGATTTTAATTTTCAGGACTTCCAAGTATGACAGTTTTAATTGACAAATACACTATTTTACAAAATAATATTACCTTGCTGAGTGATAGAGTCAGACTTAGACTGCAAGAGATTAAACAAGTGACTTATATGACTGAGCTGATTACTATATTTCTGAAGAACTAGTAGTGTAGATTGGCTCAGTTCTAGTTCGGAACAGTTGAACAGTGGCTTCACTGTAATATATATATATATACATCAAAAGTGATAACAGTTATCAAAATATTATATAAAATCAAGTCATCTATGTATATAACAGTCTCCTTTACACAATATGATCTCATTGAAATTTGCTTTTTACTTAGAAAGAAGTCTAATTCATTTAAAGCTAATTTTCTCCTCTATGAAACATTTTCAATGCAAAGTATTTTTAAAATAAATTCACTAATAAGTCATTTAGCTTATAACTGTTGTAAAGCAAAAGTAGTTATCAGAATAAACATTAATTAATGTTAAATGATTATAATCACATAAACCACCATCAACTAGAATGCAACACTAACTTGTTACAATATGCAAACAACTGGTATATTAAATATTTTTCATATTTTTAATGACATGATTAACTTTTGTTAATAAAAAAATATATATATTTGTTATTTTATTTTTCACATAAAACATGGCATAGATAACTCACATAATTCGTCACATGTTGTTTTTATCTGGTTCACTTTTTCCCAAGCCCAATTATATAAGAACCTAAGAGTGCATCCTGCATGATTATATGCTGTGTAAGAAAAAAATAGTAAATGAACACAATAGGTAATTTTATAAACACATTTAAATTTTTTAACTATAACATAAATAGTTACTATGATCTTTTTGTGTTGGATTCTAAAATTCAAATCATACATTAAAATAATCTACTTTTTACCAATATTTCAACTTAATTTGTTGTTTGTAATATCAACACCCACTGTTATTTTAGTATACCTAAATTTTAGGATTTTCTAGGATTTAACTTGTCACTATAAATCTGGCTGATACTGAATGCCACAAAACAAGTGTTTTAAGATTGTATCATCTGGCTAAGTTCTTTCCAAGATATATCTTCTCTTTAATTAAATTTTCATGTGTAATTTTATATGAGCGTATTTGTTCAGCATTCTCATGGGGATACAGAGTTGGCTTAATATTTTGTTAAGATGAATAATATTAGCCAGATGTTCTTATATGTCTGTGTTATTATGAAGTAGGTTTTTTGCAAGTATTTCTTCTATGCAGTAGTGTAGCTGTTAAAAAACAAAAGTACTGGAGCTATTCCAATGATCAATGGCATTTTTCATAACTCATAATTTTACTTTCAGCATTAACTGTCTAATAGTTATAATCATTTAAATTAAATATGCTATTTAATCAGCTATTTTAAAATAATTAATATGAGACATATGAATTTCATTAGTACAAAGTGGATTTAGTATATCAAAATTTTTATACTCTTATTTTTTTTTTTGTGTGTGTGTACATTTATTTCGCACTGCTTGGGATACATGCAAATAATTTTAACAGCTTGTGAGCAGAATAAGTATATTAAGTTATGTTAGGTGTAAATGTAAATTGCTATGAAACATGAACATAAACATATCACATCATGTGGAGGTGCCTTCCTGAACTTCCATACAAAGAACTGAATTTCACCAGGAATGTCCACTTTCATTCCATGTCAAATATTAAATGAATTGTAGCCAAACAGAATTGGAAAAAGAAACAAAATTCATTAAAGGTGTTATAAATGATTTATCTAATACGTGACAGAGCTCTTGTATGCATATTTTTTGAAAATCGAAACATGCACATTTAAATTGTACACTAGTCACCATTAACATACATACAGTGTTAGTTATTATACATAGTTTTTGACACAAATTCTCATGAGGAAATATTTCAAATTAATATAATAAATATAAATAAATAAATATGATAATACTAATTATTAGCAATTGAGCACCGTGGAACTGAAAAAAAAGGTGCTGAAGCTCCACTATACAGGACTCCTTCTATGTAAGTTTGTTGTATGGAAGCATTATGCATTATTATGTATTACAGAAATATTTTCCACCTGTTCTTATAAGAGTTCATCTTGAAGCCAATAAAAAGTACAAGCCCCTGATAAGTAAAGTTTTCAATGTTTTCTTTCTTGTTTTAAAAGTTGATATGAAGCTAAATATAAAATTTCTGTACTAAAGTTAATGCTTAAAGGTAGGGGCTGATTACCCATTAAAAATATTTATAACACCACCAAGAGACTGAATTTCAGTGTGTATTAACATCGTGTTATATTACATAAAATTAAAGTTTGAGTGTGTTGATTCAAAGAAACATATGACTTGTGAATCTGCTCAGCATGATAATTTGCATTATATACAATTAGTTGGTTCAATTTCAATACTTTGAATCACAGCTATTTCTTCAAAACTTCATAATCATCAGTTAGGTCCATGAATCCTTCAATTATTGTGTCATTTTATAGACATTAGTCATGTGTCACCTCAAGCTTCAAATACCACATTAAGACACAGGAACATTATTTATGGGCAGAAACTGCATGAGAGTTTGCTGGAAGTTCTTTTCTACAAATAACTTTCCTATGTCTATATTATAGTCTTTTAAAATTGAATTTTGATTATAACTTCACATGTTTCATAAAGTCATAATATAAGTTATAATTACCAATCTACTTAAAATGCACTTAAATTTTATTCAAACTTTGCAAGCTATTTTATCAACTAACTGATAAATTTTGTCATTTCTTATATATATACTTGTAGCTGTCTTTCACAACATTTTAGAGAGATATCAAGTCAAATATATATATATAATTCAAATTTGTTAAATTAAAGCAGTAAAAGATTATCCAAATTTCAATAAAGCATAATTAAAATTTTACAATCTTGTATTTTCTGTTTTAACTTCTACAAAAATGTAATTAGAATACAGATATAAATTCTAACTCCTAAAGATAGCACAGTTACTCCAAAAATTGCCAATGTTACAATAAATGTCAATAAGTTTTTCACTATGATAAAGCTGATTGTACCACAATACTTTTTCCACATCTTTAGTGTATACTTTATTAAAAATATCAAAGTTAAAAATGCCTGAAAGAAAACCAACCTTTCATGATTACTCAAAGTAAACCTACTGGGCACTAATATTAAGGTGTAACACATAATTATCATACAAGAATATTAAACTTAAAATGCAAATATATAAATCTTAATATCAATATGGTTCTATTGTTTAAATTGCTCAATTTGGTTTATATGTTTCTTTCAACATTTTAAAAGGTTTTTTACCTGAGAAATATAATATAGTTCTACAGTTCTACAAAGAGTTAATGGTATATATATATATATATATATATAGGTAACTTAATTTATATTAAAACCAATTCATCTACTAACAAAAGTACAATAATCAAAACTTAACAAATCTGGTAGGTAATCATTAGCAGAAAGAGAATGTGAGAAAATATGACCTTAAATACATAAATCATCACTTAATTATTTATTTACAATACAGGACAAAAACTTTAAATATATATACATGTATTAACAGAAAGAAAAATGAAAGAAGATCATAAAAGAACTTTAACCAGATTAAATAATCTAAATACTAATCAGTATAAATTGATATTGTGAACTCACATGCCTATTTTATCAAAAAATACAGATCCAAGATACAAAAGTATCATGACTAATCTTTACAAAGACAAAAGGCTGAGTCACCAAACAATAAATGAAGAAGGTCACTGACGGCTCATTGTGTTAAACTAGCCTCAAAGTCATTTTCCTGACCACCAAATTATAAAGAAGATATATACAAATTAATCCTGCTTTTATCATCATTTGACTATCATTTCACAAACATACATTACTTGAGGCTTGAAATACCCAGTTTTATAACTACACAACAGTAATAGTGTATTATTTAAACTTAACAAATGTAAAAATAAAATATTTTTTGATTTTTCAATACATAAATTAAGTATAATGGTAAAGTTTAGCCTGGGAAATCATAGGTGTTTAACTTTATATCTACTTCTAAACATTCTTTAATAAAGTTTCACCCTACCACCAGATGCCCAATGCTGAATGCAAGCAGCAAATAGATGGGTCAGGTTATACTCGAGAGCCACTGATAGAATTGTTTCTCTTTTTGTTGCCTGAAAAAAAAAAGAAATAAGGTAACTTATTTTTTCCTTGAACAGTTTGTTTATATGAAATATAATTACAGATTTATGACATGAATTGCTTTATGCTGTACTATAATAACTTAGAGTCATTAACATCAAACAAAAATAAAGTAGTAAACCAATCAGACTGCCTTCTTTTTGGTCTATTTGGAGGACAGAATACAACTGAAGAGCTTTCTACATATCTTGATCTGAATTTAAAAACAAATTATAGAATGGTTTCATATAATAAACCTACTTACAGTCGATATATCATCAAGTTCTTGACAGTGAGATACAAGCCCAGCTTTTACACACATATTGTACAGAATATTTGGATTGACAAAAATGCTTGGTCCTTTAATAGCCATTTGAGACAAGATCTAGAAAATAACAAGCTGAAATGTAATTAAGAAACCAGAATCTTACTAAAGTTTTTGTGTTGTTCTTCAAGATATTGATCTTTAATATTATTAGGTGAAATTATATATATATATAGCAAACTCTAATTAATTACTTTCCAGTTATTCTTTTTATTACACACACCAGAAAACATGTGAATAGTTCATATTTTCACTTAAGTTTAAAATATCAGAACTTAGTAGCATTTTAGATTCTTCTTTCAAAGCGGATATAAAAAATTTATTTACATGCTGCTGATATTGTTTTTTATGGACTACTACTGCCCTATCTTTTGGTTTTGAAACAATGTTTCAGCCATCATGTTGAGCCTTTCTTCATATTAAAACACAAGGCAGAAGTAACACAGTCAGTAAACATTTTCTCACATTCATGCAAAAAACAAAACTTTAAATGGTAATAAAAAACAGATACATAATGATGGAAATAATAATGGAAATAACACAATGATATACACACAAAAGTCACATACAATGGGTGAACATATTAATGTTGCAGTAAAAAACATAATCAGAAAAAATACAAATAAGTTGTACAAAGTATTATTTTGTGTGTGTGTGTGTGAGTGAGTGAACCCTTAAATTTTCACAAGACATTACAACTTATTTTCATGTTTGCCATACATTTTCTTAAAGACTGTGGAGTACTGTTCAAAATTTCCTGTATTACTTCCCACAATTCAGTCAAGTTGTTTGGTTACATTTTCACCCTCAAGAATATTCATATCAAACTTTGTGTAGGCTAAACCATGACTGTAGTGTTCCATCAGCCTCTTTACCATCAAAATATTGTTTCACCACATTTTCTGTATGCTTGGAATTTTTGTCTTGCTTAAAGATGAATCTCTACTAAATGAGTTGTGTTCTTGAAGGAATGTCATGATGGATCAGAATCTGCCTTTCAAGTGTGTAAATCACTGACACCACTGGCTGAGATACATCCTCAAACTTTTACTGATCCCAACAACATGCTTCACTGTAAATGTTGTTCATTGACTACAATACCATTCTCCTATCAACCATCAAAAATGTTGTCAGTGATTGCTGCCAAACAATTCAAACTTGGATTCATCCGTAAATAGCACATGTTTCCAGTTTACCTTATTTCACTGTTTGTGGTCTGCTGCTCATTTTAACCTTTTGGTTTGGTTACCTAGTCTCAACAGAGATTTTCAAGAAGCTACAAGTTCAACGAAACATGTTCTTGAGGTAGTATTCATCCCTGTATTTATAAGAAGGTCACTGGCAAGATCTGTATTAAATCATTGTTATCTTGTAAAGAACATACTATGAGATACTTAATGTCACTTTTGAATAATTTCAGTTTCTATATATGAAAGTAAAGGCTGTCATACTATGTCTAGTAATTGTATTGTACATGAACCCAGTAATGGCTCCTAAGATTGAAATACTGAATAAGAAGCCCATAGAATCAAAGATTTTGCTGGTCAAGGATACCCCATGTGAAAAATTCTGGCAAGATGCTATGTTTTGGTAGGAGCTGTATGCAAGACTGAAGAAGGTACATAAAACTGGCACCAGGGCCATTTTATCTAATGGGCAAAAGGGGCAGTCAGAGGCCCACCATGCATTGCGGGTATAATAATAAAATATAAAATGTATATTAATAATAATAATAAACCAGTTTTATAAAAAATACATTTTTTCATTTTTTATTTCCTTAATTTCTTTATCACTAATAAATTCAGTTTATCAAATTGTATGGTATTTTTTAAAATCAAGGGTAAGTAAGTGAGGCCCACTAGTTTATACTTTGCCTAGGGCCTACCAGTGCTTTAACGTGGCAGTGACCAACACTGTTGGTAATAGGAGTGGTTGAGAGGATTGTTCAGATGATAAATAATCACAGAGTAAATTATCAACATGTGACTGTACTCTGTTGAATTCGTTTTTAAATGATAAAGGATGCAGCATTCCCATATTATTTGCCTTTTATACTCCTTTTCATAATTGTTTCCAACTTACTATACCTGTGTTATAAGTTCTTTTTTTTATTAAAAAGAGAGACTTAAAATGTTGAAAGTAAAAAAGAAGACCAGGCTTAAGGATTTAGAAAACTAACTAACCAATCAGAAGCAAAGACAGGATAATAATTATAGTTGTGTAAACTTAAAGCAAAGATACATATTTCACTTGAATTTGCACTAATGGCTTTGTTTTTACACTTGTAAACATGAAATGGTACAAAACAGTATGACTTAGAGAACCACTGCATTTGGATTAAACACAAATCTTTGTAAAATTAACTTCTGTTGTAAGTTTCATATGAGACCATCAATCAACAAAATTTTAATTTTCTACATAAAATTAAAACAAAATATTATCTGTACATTGCTTTGTTACTCCCTTACTAATGATAGTCCTAGAATGAGCTTAAATGGCTATATATTCTAACAATTATGACATCAACTGACCTGTCTTTGAATTCCAAGGAAAGAAAGCTGCATAAACCCATTTTCAGTCAAACAAAAAATCTCTGCAAACAGGAAAAAATATATATATACATCAAATTTTAATGTAAAAACTATTGACCTTTCTTAAAAAGCTTTCTAAATACATCTATATTAATAAACAGTTGAAGCTCAAGCATCAACTTCATATGAAAATAACAGTGAAATGGAAAAAAATGACAAACACTTTTGGGTTAATGTCAAAACTTCATAGGGACTAACTCAAAAAGTTTTATAATCAAAAATACTTGTCACAAAAGAATTAACACAATTAACATCAAAAGGACCAACATCAAACTGCATAAATAAAAAGCATTGAAAAGAAGTATCTGAATAAAAATTTATCATGAAAGGAAAACAGTGAATAAATAAATAAATTTGTTTTGAAAGGAATAATTTCAAATTGAATAATTCTGAAAGGAATAATGAAAAATAAATAAAACAGGCAAACAGTTAAGAACACAGATAAAAACCTTCATTCCAAGATGGCAGTTTAATGTGAAAATCACAAATTTACAACTTTGATACACCAAACCTCTCATTTATATACATAATAGACATCCGAGCAGAAGTATCTATAAAATAGCATCTCAAAACAAAAATATGTGAAAATTTATGAACTCAACTAAAAGTACAGTTTTCTAGAATAACATACCACCAAAAGATGGATATCCAATTAAAATGAAAAATGACAGTTGTTTTTTTTTTAAATGAAGCTAAAACCATAACACCTCAGCAAGGAGTATAGAATAAAATCTAATAGAATTATGTCTACTATTAATGTTTCAAATATAAACATTTAAATTAATATCCTAAAAAGATGATAACATCAGAAGATGTTTCACAAAATGCACAAATTTAAACACTTAGCTGAATGCAAGTCATATCTATTGATGTCATTTTACTGGATAGCACATACAGACAACATGCTGGGCCAATAATTTGCTTCTCTGACTGCATTAGTGTGATAGTAAAAATGACTTTCCATAAGAAGTTATGCAGATATATTGGTTAAAATAGATAAAACACTCATCCATACATTGTATCACATAGACAAAGTTTGAGTTGAGGAATAGAAACACATGAGGCTAAACAGTGAAATTTTGAAAGGTACAGTGATATTCTTCTAAAGTACAGATAAAATGGTCAAATAATTTTATATACATGTGATGAATGTAATAATCATGTATGCAAGTTGCGAAAATTTTTGGCTTGAACATGTTTGTTGTATTATTCATATCATTTGTAGAAATATAAAAACTTGTTGATTTTAACCTCAGAATACAGATTAATATTAAATTAGCCTGTGTGAATGTTTATTAGAGTTAAATTCAAAACAAATATTTTAGTTAAGAACAGACAGAAATGACTATTATATTTAAATTGTAATATCTATAAAACACAGAAGCAATGTATCCAACTGTTCACAACTTCGGAGTTATAAAGACAATTCATGGCACACTTTTCAACCTGGTAACTAATGGCACTTTCACCATAGATGGAATGAAAATGTAGTTATAATTTTGGACTCTTTTTGTAAGCTTTATTGCTACAAAGTATTATATACATCAGTACAAGCCAAAATCTTGACTTGTATTAGCTGCATTTCAACCAAAGTAGCTTAGTCAAGAATAGTACAAAATATGCAGTTTTTGCAAAGAAAGTCCCAGTCAATAACCTACATATATCTTTTAACAACCCTGAATAAACAAGGGTATTTACAAAAAAATTCATTTGTTACTCTTAGAGTACTCTAATAAAAATTCCTTCTTAATGTGGTTAATATTTACAGTTTGATGAATTTCGTAAAAGCATTCAAAACTTTTCTTTATAATCAATCTTTCATATACAGTGCAGCTGTACATGTGTATGTATATCAAAAAAATATGACAATTAGTTTAAATTAAGTCTGTAGGTGAAAACAGTTTATACAGAAAATCTTATATTTTATGTTGTTTATATATTTAAACATTAAGAACATACTCACTGAATCCAAGTGACGAAGGGAAATAAAACTGGTCAACTAATGATTTGGCACTGAACTTGATAATAGAGTTGGGAAGAATGTATGCATCCTATTTCGATACATTTAAAATTATGAACACTAGCTTTTCTATTGGCTAAATATGTTCAAAACATTAACATCTGATTCGACTCAGGTAGAAAATAACAATAAATGTTAAAACAGCAAAATTAACTACTATTTTATCTTCAAACATTATTGTAAATTCATAATAACCATAAAACTTACAAGATTATAAATATTATAGCATATGATTGTTAAATGTTAAATTATATTTCAGAAATGTACATTCTGTGAGTATAACAATTCATTCTTTTATTTACCAAACTGTGAACATGCTACCTCTTGCAGCTATAAACTGCCTAATTTGATATTTTTCAAATGCCTCTTTTACTATAACATGTCTCTAACCTCATGATTAGAAAGTTTTAGACATCTAAGGCAATTACCATAGCTAGTGCTGCCACCTGCTATCTAGGCTATTGTTATTGTAGTAAACTGGTTAGTTTGAGCATTTACAGTCTTATGTAGGCAGATGAATCTCTTTTGCTTTTAGTTACACAATAAAATTTCGTGAGGAAACTTTTAATTTAAAATATTTTCAAGTATATGGTGTATTATTTATTTTCACATACAATTTTCTATACCTAGGTAAACTATATTTCTGATCAACACTAACTACAGAATTAAACTATAAGCCTAAATTTAAAGTTTGTCAGAAGAACAACAAAACCAATTCATATTTAAAATCAGTGACTAATTTATAAAAATGTAGCAACTTTCTAAACTCCAACTTAAACCCTGCTTAAATACAACTACTATAGAGAATTTAATTTATAATTAGTCCAATTAAATTTTTAAAACTTACCAAAAACACACCCCTCTTTGTCTCCTCTAACACTTCCGATAGAGAAAATATTCCAACAAAAGAACTCAATTTTTCAGGGGAAATTCTATGGAAGTACAATTACAAAAAAAAATAAAAAATATAGAAAAAAACATTAACACAAAAATCAATAATATAAACAAATTAAATTTTATCCTTGATTTAAAAATAGCTTGTTACATATCCTTGATAATGAAATTTAAAACCAACAACATATATATCTCAAAGAGGTTTATAAAATGTTACTTAACTATAAGACCTATCTATTTATACCCTCATAAATCATTCAGTATACTTTCTCCCTTTCAATTATTAAGCTCTAAGCCATATTGTTCACAAGCTATGTATGATGAAAGCAGACATATTTCTATAATGATAGATTTTAATAATTTTAAATGATTATATTTGATATAAAAACTATACTTCAGTAACAAAATTATTTTATTTCAGGAAATTCTAGAAGCCACTTAGAATTATAGATATTCAAATGATATGCAAAGTTATTCCAAGCAAATGCTCATATGAGTCAATTTCAGTAGATATAGTGTATGTGTTTGTTATTAAGTACAAAGCTACAATGTGCTATCTGTGCTCACTGTGGGTATTGAAATCCAGCTTTTAGTGTTATAAAACTTCAGACTTACTCTTGGGCTACTGGATGGTATAGATATAGCATTTAGATGGCTATGCTATTCATACAGTGTACACAAGTGTTTTTTCCCAAAACATTTTTTTGTTTACTTGCAGTAGAACAGTTTAAGACTTTCTGAATACATTTCACACTAGTTATTTTATTAAGTAAATATTTAGTTATTTATTTTTATATGAAAGCTAGGATTCTATCTATGTTCCTGACAAAAACTGTTTTGTCAAATTTAAAAAAGATGAGTAATATTACTGATCAAAAGTGTGAAACTGGTTAAAAAATATACATTTCAAATGTTACAACTTGTGGAAACAAATCTTGCTCTAACTATATTGTGTTGGTAACTATTTATAACCATTTTAATATTTGTAGAGATGCAATGCTTCTATGGTCAATATTTTCTCTCTCAAGTACATATAAGCATTACAAAACCTTTTTCATTTTTATGACTGAGTCTTAAATTTCACATGGTACTAAATAATCATACAAGGTAGTTTTAAAACCACTATACTATACTAAATCTTATTTATATGTATATATATATATATATATATAGACACACACAGTTATACTTCTTATTTCATAAATTGAGGCTATTTAGCTATCACTTGGTTTTAGTTTACCTTTAATTGGGAGTGAGCTGTAATATGAAACACACTTGATAAAAGGTAACAAATTCATTCTAACCAGCTGCAAACTTGTATTTTGGGAAGTGTGAGCTTTTCACACTTTTATACTTTTTTCGCTTTCTTTTTTGAGGCTATTCAACTAAACTTAACATATGAATCAGAATGAAAATGTATGAAAAATCAAGTGTGTGTGTGTGTGTGCATGTGGAAACAAAAATTTCATCCAATCATCTTACACATTTGAGTGATACAGAATTTCACTGGATAACACAATCTCTGTTATTAACCTAGCTGGTTTGATGAGAACTGACATTGCTCCATGGTACAGTCCTCAGCTAGTCATGGTACAAATTTTGTTACCATATGTGAGCTTATTGTTTTTCCTATGTCAAAATAATGCCACTTTTTTAATGACTAAATTCTCAATAATAAAAACTTTACAATACTTCAATCTAATTACCTGAACAAAGAAGGCATTTCAGCTTGATACCATTGATTAATATCAAATAGTAACATGAAACAATGAGAACAGGTGTCTGCTACATTATGCCATGCTTCCCATACCACAACACAGAGGCTAAGTTCCTGAATATCATCCCAATCTAAAATATTAAAATCACGTTCTGTCAAACTCAAAGAGCATTCAAAAAACTTTTCCTCAAACACTGAAGAAATATTAACTCAAGCATAATCTTTCACTCTTTAGTAAAAAAAAACACACTCTTAAAAAAAGTACTGCTGTAATCAAAAATATGAATGCTCCAAAACACACAAGATCTGAAGTATTTCTCTAGACTTGCTTTATTTAATATTATTTGTCACCAGAAACTACAACTGTATTAGAAGTCACTATTAATGGAAAAAAGCTATTTTAAATTAATTAGCAGCAAGGAAGAAAATTAAAAATAAAAAATAAAAAATCCAAACACTACACAATTCTATATATATATGTTTATTTGTGTGTGTGTGTGTGTGTATGTGAATGAGTACAAACGTGTATATACATATTACCATTATTTTCTACAGAATCTTGTTCTGATCCACAGACACTAGACTGCTGTATGGTGTAACAGCTTATAAGACGACTGACATTCTCTATATTCTCAGATGAATGACCCAAGTCTGGGTTATAGGGATCTAATGTGAGTGAATACTGGAAACAAAGTGAGCAAGTGCTAAACTCCTGCAAGAAGATTGAAAAAATTGAGCACACCTTTCTGTAATCATGAAATTAGGATTCAACACATAAAAACAATTATCTTCAACAGTTCACAAAAAAATATACTTAAGCTTGTAGTAGTGTCAAAATATTGGATGTTACTTTGTTTGTTTGTTAAGTGCAAAGCTACACAATGGGTTAGTTGTGCTCTGCCCACTGTGGATATCAAACCAGACGTTTAGCATGAAAAGAACTCAGACTTACCACTGACCCTGTCCCCCGGTGGGACAGCAGCAAGTCTATGGACTTACAACACTAAAATCTGGGGTTCGATTCTGGATGCAGCAGATAGCTCAATGTGACTTTGCTCTAAAAACAACCAACCACTGAGCCACCTAGAGATGCATGGATGTTACATTTCATAATTAATAAAAATGAGTAAACTTAACATTTCCATACAAGATCAATGGAAAAAATGATTTTAAAAAATTTAGAATAAGAACTGGAAAGTGTGGTATATCCAGCACTGATGAGATTTTCAAGAATAAGAGGGTTGGTTTCTAGTCACATTACTTCACACCATTTGGCAGTATATTCAATCATTCAGCATTTGTTTTACCTAATAGATGGTACAAAAGTAAAGTTTGAATATTACTTTTTCTATTTCATGGAAAGTACTTTAGTAAAGGCTTTTTATGATACTAAAACAAGTTTAAACTTAACTGTATCTACAAAATTCAAATTGCTCTTATTTAAAAGAATAAGAATTACTCAGATTGATTTAGTTTTGTTGCTCAATGTCACAAAATAAAAAAGTAATTATAAGATTAGGGATTTCACTGATGACAGAGGACAAAATGTGTCTAGAATTGAGAAAAATTAAACTACTCCTATAATATTCTTCTATTATAAGATCAATTAAGTAAACAGTGTCCCATTGCAGTTTCATGTTTGATTTTCATACTATAAAAACTTTTAACTTTTGCATTATCTGCATTTAAAAGAAGTTTTATCAATTAACAGTAAACAAAGTGTTATGATTATTACTTAGACAAAATAAAACCATTGTTTATACACTATGGCATATGTTATTTATCTAAATATGTATTTTTAGTATTATTTCATTTTACCAATAGATATGCAATAAACACTCTCATAGTAGATTCTCAACTAAAAAAACACAATACAGAGTAATCATCCATATGAATGCATCAAGGAAATGTAATACTATAGAATAAATAATTTTAGGTATCAGAGTTTGGGTTAACCCTACTTTAAATGTGGTACAGTAGTTCTGTGGCAAATCATATGACCAAGTTTACTAGTGTATGGGAACAAGTTTTGGCAGATAATTGCTAAGGATAAGTTCAGTACACTCTTGTTATTCTGAAATGTTTAATGAAAACTAGAATATGTCTGATAATGTTTATATACTGTAAAAATTCTTAACCAACTCATTTACCTGGTTTCAATCTTTAGGTCTGGTTTGATGCAAATATGTTAGTACCATTAAATGTAATTTACTTGAGCAACAGGTTTAAGCAATATTACAAATGTATGTAGCTGTTAGAATTACATCACTGGTGTTCAAGTTCAATTCTAGAAATGTGTATTTCTACAACTTAATGTTACAGAAAATATCCATTAATGGTTATCACATTTACAATCCTTTTCCTGGCCACTGTACAAAATTTCTAAATTTTAGCTCTTTTGGTACTTTGATATAACATGTATATAAATATACAAAGAACAATAGTTAAAAGACTTTAGTGTTTATTCGTATACAATATACATGGTATTATAAAGAAAAATCCATGTTCAAACTGATTACATTTAAAAAGTACATAGCATACGGGAATTCAAATTCAAATGTCACTACATTTTTTTCGTTTTTCCAATTAGCATATCAAGCCTATCCTAAATGACACTACTGCAAGCATCATCTGTTCTGGATAGTATACATTGTTCCTCACAATATCCTGCACATGGAACATGCATTTTATCTTAATTACTAACCTTGTCATGTTAAAAGTGATAGGAAGAAGAAAAATAAAAATGCTAGTTTGTGAGAATAGTAATTTACTTAGGTATATAGTATAATATGGTTTGGGAATACAATTCTACCAGGCTTTCCAGAATAAAACCTACCATTCTCTATGTGGCTATGGTGAAGCTGAGCTTCCCTAGAACTATTTTTTAAGATAGAATCATTTTATAAATAAGTTTTTTGCTGTAATCACCCTCTACAATTACTATAAATTTCAAAATTTTAATATTTGCAAACTTATGATACTTTTAAATTCTGTTACTATTTCAATTTACAAATTTAAGGTAACTGAAATTTATCCTACTATTGGCAGGGAAATTCACCCAAAGTACATTAAACACCTATTAATCTTTCAACTGCTTAAATTTTCATTAGCAAGTTCACTCACTTTTGCATCAATAACAATATTTTTATGCTTGTAAAGCAGTTTTTTACAAAATGAAATGCTTCTTACAGTAATACAAATACAACAACGAAATAAATTTCAAATAAATCTATCAATGCCATCTGAAATTGATGCCTCCCTGACTATACCTACTAAAACATACAAAGCAAAATGTACAGAAATAAACATATGTTAGTTGCTTTAAAAATATGTTTGAAACTTGGAAATTAAGATATCAGTCAATAGTGTATAATCACAGTTATAAAATGAGCATGTCCATCAATGGAAAAAATAGTTCTATGGCAAGAAGGGGACCTGGAACATTGTTCTCATAAAATGTGATTAATTTAATTAGAGGTACTTGAGTATGTAGTACAATATATACAATATGCTTTGTAAGACACATATTTTTGGGTACTTCTTTTAGGCTCTACTGTGTCTGATATTCTGTGATCCTCAGGATTCATTACCAAGACTTTATAATCAATATAGATATGCTGTTTATTATTGAAACTAAATATAAGATCTTCAAATTCCTTTTTTTTTCAACCATTCAATGTTCTCAAGAAAATGGAAAATCATCTTGAAAAAATAAAAACAAAAAACAGCAATAACTGTGATTTTATAGCTGCATGATATATCCAGTAAGTACTGCCAAGTCTGCAGCAAATCACAATTTCACTCAAATGTCACATCTCTAATGTATTATCTACACGACGATTATTCAGTTACTTTAATTTCTATCAACTATGAGTAAACATTTATGCCAATATTACAATACTATAATAAAACTACACTCACTAATCCCTTATCCAAGTCTAGACTTACCTGGTAAAAAAAACCATAGCCATCAAGCCATTCTTTTCTTTTATAAAATACAGAAAACATTGATGCAACAGCAGCTCTTTGAGGTCTGTCAAAAATAAAAGTCACAATAATACATCATTAATACGTATTAAAACAATATTTAAAAAACTGTTAGTTGAATTGATCTTATGGATATTCTTTCTGATGAATCAGAAAATTTTTTCTTTTTATAGTATACTAGCAAAAGTGCCCAGCTTCACTCGAATTATTAGGTTGATAGTGTGTATATTCTGAACTCATTTCAGCATAAAAGTATAACCTATATACTTTTGTTGCTAAGCAATGTGACATAAAAGCCATTGTTGGAATGCATTGCTTCAAAATGCACTGGATTTTCTATATATTAGAAGTTGTTATACAAGGAACCACTTCTTTTCTAAGGTCCCAAGGTGGGGCAGCGGTAATTCTACGGATTTACAATGCTACAATCAGGGGGTTTGATTCCTCTCAGTGTACACAGCAGATAGCCCAAAGTGGCTTTGCTATGAAAACACACACACTCTTTTCTAAGTGGTTTTTCGCTAGCTTGCCTCATTAAAAAGATGAGCACGTGCATAAATAAGTAATAATACCCAGGTGCACACCCTCAAGGTCCACTTAGTATGTGTGCAAAATTTCAGGTTTCTAGGTTCTTTCCTTTTGGAACTATGGCGGTCACACATACACAGACATGCACATACGTGGGGTCATGTGAGCAAACACACACATTTGTGTCTATCTGGCTGTGATTTCTATTTGTAATATCAGGAACCACTTTTCTATGTGGTTTTTCACTAACTTGCCTCATTAAAAAGATGTGCACACACATGTGGATAAGATGAGTAATGATACCCAGGTGCACACCCTCAGGGTCCCCTTAGTATTTCAGGTTTCTAGATTTTTTCTTCTTGTAGCTATGGCAGCCACAGACCCACAGATTAACAGACATGCCATTTTATTATTACAGATATCATGTTTAAACCATTGAACTGATTTATGTTACCATCCTCATGTAAAAATATAGAACAGGTTTAAAAAGTCTGGGTAAATAATATTAACAACCATTTTTACTCAAATATCAGACAATAATTAAGTCTAATCATAAAAAGCTAAATCAATTCCATTAAAAACAAATGGTTAAAAACGTGCCATACATTTTGACACCATCTAGTACCTTCCTCAGCCACTGAGGAATTGTTGAAACATATGGTAGGTTTTAACCATTTGTTTTTAATGAAATTGTTTTAATCTTTTATGTTTAAACTATGTAAAAAAAAGTTGTTAATATCCTCATACAAGTTATACAAACAAAAATTAGTTGATTAGTTGGCACAGCCTAATGATTAGGATATTGAATTAAGAATCCCAGGATTCATGCATGACTTGTGACTCTTTGCTGCAAAATCATGCCCTGCACTTTAGGGCTCCAAATTTGCTATAACAATGTTGGTCAAATCTTACTACTTGGGAAGGAAAGAATAGCCCAATAGTTGGCAGTGTGAGCTGTTGACTAGCTTCTTTCCCTCTAGTTTGTCAGCCCAAATTAGGACAGTTAGTGCACATTGCTCTTGTTTAGCTTTTATTAAATTTCCAGAACAAACAAACCAACCTCTGTTCATCTGATACTGATTGCCCATGAACAATCCATAGGTAACAGTAATTTTGAGGGTCGTTTTCTGGTTCTTGAAAAGCAAACTTGACTACAGGAGGAAGCCCTGATTCTATGAACAAACTAAACCTGTGAAGATCAGAAAAACCACATTATACAATGAACACATAGATAGGGTGTTAATATAACTGACAATTCACCAAAAATATCCCCATTAAAAGAAGAAATACATTTTCTAATACAACTTTCACACTTACACATGAAATGCTTAACTGGGATTACTTAGCTCTTAGTATTTCATGGTAATTAAATATGTTCTTCAGAATAAAAGCTGACTCAATATGATTAAAAGAACTAATACTACCATTTTAATTGTTACTATATGAAATCAATTATTATTTATATTACTACAAACACACACACATATATATATATACATGCACAGACACAATAGCCTTATATATATATATACATAAAGTATTTTAATAACACACATGTTATCAATTGTGATAGAAAAAAACCTATGCACACAGCAGAGTAATACAAACACAGCCCCACATATGTACTTAATATCAGAATAGTTAACACAAGTAAAGGTTAAGAAACTGAAAGAGAAATTGCTTGAAATATCACCCAATAATATTTTTAATGAGATTAAATTTATTTTGCAGTTTATTATATGTGAAAATTCATTAAATCACAAATATGAACAAGTTTATTCACTCTAAGGTCATTTTGTTCATGTTCCAAATCTGAAATCCTCCAAAACTAAAACCAACGACTAAGGCAACCAAAGATTTCACATATTCTATACTGCTGACATATAAAGCTTCATCTGAAAATAAACAAAAAACATATATATATATATATATATTAATATAACTTTTAATAATATTCATTATTTAGACATTAAATAAACTCTTATTTCTATTCTAACTTATGTTCCTACATATTCTTAAAACAATAGCTTTCACTGTAAATAAAAAAGGCTGGCCAAGAAACTACCACAAGAACTTTATTAGGCTTATCTAAACATAAAAGTTTTTTTTAATGAATAGTGTGGAGAATAGCCAAGGGGGGTAGCAGAAAACCTACTGAGGAGGCAACCGCCAAATCATGTAAATAATGAGATATAAATGTATTAAGCATGGTCCACATACTAGCCTGTACAATCCTCTCCAGTAGGCAACATAACCAAGGTGCTAGGGGCATCAAGGTATGGTGAATTTGATGAGAGGAACCCCAAAAAAGTCTCCATCCATCCAATGAAAGCACAGAATAAGCAATATGCTTCAATTGACGAATCCAACCTGCTAAAGCGACAGGAGATAAGTTACATGACACCTTAGGATCCCAATGGACCCCCAAACCCTTCAGTGCCCACAACAGAACATTGAAGAGTCTGAATTAGGCATAAAATATGATTCAGATCCGAGCATTCATAAAATGGGAAATGGAGGGAAGACAAGTAGGAGAGAAAGCTTTATCTCCTTCTCTAGCTACTGAAGTTTTGGGAAGAAAGGATCTATTAGGATACATCAGAGCATAAGTGGAATGCTAAAGAGTCCTATGAACATGAATCTCAAATGAAGACCCATCCCATCCTGGCTGAGAGCATCTATGCCCAAAGCCAGAGGGTGAAGGACAGAAGACCAGAAGGATGGGAGCTGGGCATTCCAGTGAGTGGCAAAAGCAACTAACTGAGGCATCCTGAAACGAGAGCAGATCTAACAAATAACTTGTGGATGAAGCATCCATTCTGTGGGAAAAACTCCATTGGGATGAGATAACTGATCAGCCATGAAATTCATTGAAACATGACAAGCAAGGAAAACAATCTGATGATTGTGGGCCCAAAAGAGAAGATCCAATGTCTGAAGACAAAGAGACCTGGAGTTAGTGTCCTCTTGCTTGGAAATGTAGGAAACCACTGTGGAATTGTCCAAGTGAAGCATTACAACCTTCCCTCACAACAATTCGTAAGCCCGAGACATAGCTTGTCAAACTGCTAGAAGCTCTAAAAAAATTGATGTGGAGAGAAGATTCCTCTTCTGTTCACAGGCCCTTGAATTCCACATCCCCTACACAAGATCCCCATCCATGGAAAGAAGCATCCATGAAAAAATTTATCTCAGGATGTGGGGGCAGGAGAGGGAACCTACTGCCAAGATTGAGTGGGCTGGAAGCCAACAGGGTCACTGGACAATCCAGACACATCCCTGCAAATGTTTTAATGGTCCCATAACAACTAATGAAGGGAACACACGTGGCCCTGATCCAAAGGAATAAATGATTCCTAGGATGCCCACATCCCTGCAAATGTTTTAATGGTCCCATAACAACTAATGAAGGGAACACACGTGGCCCTGATCCAAAGGAATAAATGATTCCTAGGATGCCCACATCCCCAAAAGAGAATGAAATGCATGCACCGGTAAAGAAGAAGACAAAGCTATTAGAAGAATGGCTCATTCTATGGCCTGAAGTTGTAGAAAAGAAGGTTGGGCCCAGCTCTTGCAGCTTTGGATAAAAGAGCTCGAGTGTGAAGCTCTTCCAAGTGGCATGAATGAGCAAGGAGAATTCATTCATCCATATAATAGTGAATGTGAATACCCATTGAGTGAAGATGGCATGAAAAGGATATGACTATCTGGCAAAAGACGTATGGGATGGATGTGAGGTCGAATGAAAAACTTGTCTCTTGTGCACAAAATGGAAATACCAATATGAAGACTCTACAATCGAAATATGAAGGTAGGCATCCATAGACTAGGTGCAAAGTGCTGCTGGAGGGAAAGAAACGACTCCATGATAAATCAAGGAGGGAGGAGGAAATGACTGAGATAAGAAAAATCAATGACAATAAACTCAAAACCCAATAATATCAAAGAAATCATCGTCCAAAGTGTAGGTATAATTAAAATTATACAACACATAAGAGAAACCCACAGCATGCACATAAAACTGTTGTCATAACATTCTGCTGTCGGGAAAAGTGAAAGGAAGTCATAACAGGGAGCTTATATATGGATTTGGTATAGGGAGTACATTGATGTAGGTGGAGAGAATCACAAGATTTACATTGCTATGGGCAATATAATGGGGTATAAATGCTGGAGCAAGCAAAGATTCATATCACTACTTAGATGGGAAAAGAAGAGAAACTTTCATCGGGATAAAGCTAAAGTGTAAGAGATATAAGTATTTTGGAAACATTTTTTTGTAGACAGTTGTTTGCCTGCCATTTTATGCTGATCTGATCAAATGCAACCTCTTATGAGTAGGCCTATATTTTACCAAACAAGTCTTTCTGACACCTACGTTTCAAGTAATAAACATGACTACATTGATTTCACTTTTGACTAATCAGAAGGCCATTAGCATGGAATCCTACTAGATCCAAAACAAGGTAAACATTTTGTCTATTACATTGACAAGCCTTGCCTCCATTGTAAGCAACTGAGATACCAGCCACACTACACTGATTGTGGCCAGATATATTACTATTTTTATATTTCTTTGTGTAGCTTATAGCTCATTACTTCAAGTCGAAACATAAATGAAGGTAAATATTGAAGCATTTATGGCATTATTTACAATACTGTATGGTGATTGATGCAAGTAGATCTAAGCAATTTAATCAATTACCTAAAAGCAGCAATTACTTTGATTAAGTTCATGTATACTGATTGGTTAATCACAATTACAATTAAAACTATTAATTGAAATTGATATTTTTGATTACTGTTATTTTCTCTTACTAGCAACAAATGATTCATTGAGATTTTGATTATATCAATTCTCAGAAAAATAATCAACTAAACAAAATTAGGATTTTCAATTATTACTATTTTTGATTATTCCAACTACCCAGGAAATCAAAATATTGCCACAAAACTTATTTGCCCTGTCTCTGTTGTGGCAAAATTACTATGGCTATCTGCCACTGTCAATAATTTTGAATGGCTAACAAGAGGTATGACAAAAGTATCTTATAGCATGTACTTGCTGCTTAACCTTTTTTCTTTTTTTTTGTTGCTTTTGTTGAACTACTGACTAGATGGAAGACAACTAATTGTAGCACTCGGTCAGTGTCATTAATTGATTAGCAAATACCACTAATCATCCAGTTCTATAGAAAGTAATAAAATACACAGAAGATAATTATACTAATGTAATATAACCAAAGAGAACCTTTGAATAACTACTTATGATGTTAATGTCAATGTGTAAGTGATGCTCCCACCCAAGACATTCTGGGTTGATTATAGATAACTTACATTATATTTAGTGTGCTACATCCACACAGATTACTTAATATTTCAATTTGTAAACTTAATAATAACAATAACATGTTAATATGGAATCATATTCTATCAACTTAATATAATTGTTCATCCTTAGCAATATGTTTCAGTTAAAAAAAAGTCAACTTAATACAAGGGGACATGATCCCTTACACTTTAGAACCCACTTACAATATTTGTTTTAATTTCTTTCTTACAACTAACTAAGACTAACTTACAACACCTACCAACAGTTAATGAATGTATGAGAGCATTATCTTCACTTTTATAGAAGAAAACACCCTGCTGAAGACTGTCATCTGCATATAAAAGTTTGTTTTATTAAACATAAAAATATTTTTGTTCTTTCAATGTCAGTCAGTGCAATAAAAATATACAATCTAAACGTTTTGATCTCTTATATCAAATTTGTTGCTATACCTTTCTTCTGCATCATAAGTTTCATCAAAAAAGAAAAATAAGTACTAACATCCAAAAGGTTTTAACTGTCAGATTCAATTAGAATTAATTGCCATGTCTCATACAACTGTAGTAACAGAATGGTCAATAACATATTTTTATAATAAAAACTTAACTTGGACTACCAAATAAGTTTAAACAATTCTGCAAAATTCTGTTACAGTTTATATATTTTTGATAAAACCAGCATTATGTAATTTTATTCCCAGTTTTCAAAACTTAGCAAATATACCATTTATCGTGAATTCCAATCAGCACATATAATCAAGTATAGAACATCATCTTACTTCCTTACCTAACTTTAGTTTACTTTAGTAAACTCTGAGCAACAACAGAATATTTAAGATTATCAAGTTTCATTAATTATACCTTCGTTCCCTTAGCAAAGCATTGTATTTCAATGGAAGTAGCATGAAATTTGCTGCTTCCTAACCTTACATCTCAACAAAGTATATATGTATATATATATATATATATATATAAGGCACTTGTTTTATATCTAGTTTTTGGACCAAACAGCACAAGTCATAAGTCAACAAAACGCATGTACAAATGAGACAATCAGTGTGTCTTAATGCTGTGGTATATAAGCTTGACATG